TCCTTCTCGTTCAATCCAGAACGAGAAAATGGTTGTGTCCAATTCGGATGGCTGCAGCGGTTCTTCACCCAATATGTCGGCCAATTCGTCGGAGCATTATTTAACGATTCCGGTCGTTTGTTGAATACTAGCCTGGGACTGAGCAGAGAGAGAGAGAGAGAGAGAGAGAGAGAGAGAGAGAGAGAGAGAGAGAGAGAGTAGTAGTAGAGGTGGTGTAAAATGGGGGGAATGAAGAAGAAATTGAAATTAAACGGTATCGGTTCTGGAATTTGGAGGGAAGTTAACGTTCTGTTTGGTAATGTTTGAAATTCCACTAAAATCCAAGTCAATTTGGTAATTTACCCTTCCTTCTTTTTTTATTATTATTATTAATTTAATACTTTCGTTATATAGAATTTTTACATCAAAATATTGAAATAAATTACCAAATAGTCCAAATAAATCTATTATTAGTTGCGGTCATGAATTAAAGTTCATGTGTTAATCAGATTAAATAGTAGTAGTAATAATAATAATAATAATAATAATAATAATAATAATAATAATAATAATAAATAATAATAATAATAAATAATAATAATAATAATAATAATAATAATAATAATAATAATAATAATAATAATAATAATAATAATAATAATATGGGCTTGAATTTAGGCGAATATAAAATTACAAAAGAGAATTGCAGTTTCTTCAATCTCCATAACCGTATTTTAAATTGCAGTTTCTTCTTCTCTTCACCATTTCCACCGCACCGAGCAACTGATCGGCGGCGCCGCCGTCAAGAAACAAGAATTGAACGACGATGAATAACCCTCCGATCAACTCTATTGATGCCAAGTATCTCATCAGCCGGCGAATCTCCAGACCTTATGATTACATGCGCGGCGGCATGAGTCATCTCCTCCGTCTCTTCACAGTCATTTCCGGCGCCGGCGAGACTCCGGTGGTGGTTCAGATCAACCACGACGGCGAAGAGAAACAGCTCTCCTTCGAAGAGATTGTTTCCATGGTATGGACTTTAGTCAAGCGAGACCAAGAAGCCGCCTCCGCCCCCGTCGCTGCCGCCGGCGCTGGGTTATGGTTCAATGCAGGGAACGCCGCCGTGGTTATACTGGAGGATTTCATGCACGATGGCCAGCGCCAGGCGGCGGCGAACGCCGCCGCAGGAGACGGTGTTGATCTGCACATCATAAACAACCCCGTGTGTGCTTCGATCGCTTATGCTCTGGATAAGAAGCCTTCAGCAGATGAGGAAAGAAACGTCCTGGTTTACAACCACGGCGGCGATGATTTGACCGTGGCCGTGTTGACTATAGAAGAAGGCGGCGTTTTCAGTATGAGATCCGCCGCCAGAGAAACCCAATTGACCGGAGATAAATTCACCAATCGTCTCTTGAATCACTTCGCGGCG